AGCTATAGCCTTCTTTGGGCTTTGGATCTATGTGGAGGTATTATTCCAGTTATTTTCTTGTTATGCTATTAACCACTGCAGCATTTATTTTACAATCGTGAGGATGAAGGTTTAGAGAGATAAGGAACAAGAAAACCCAGGGCAGTCTTCTATGAATCACACTGTTCTCCTTGTCTGACTTTCAACACAAAATATAAAAGTCCTTTTTCTCAGTTGATACCAATTCTATTCAAGTAGCCCCTGAGTTTCAGGAGGGATAAGGCCATTTCTCTTGCCTTTGGAAAACTAAAGGTCCTCCAAAGTCATCTAATGACCCTCAATGTACTGACAGATTCATGATTGTATCAAAAACATTATTGGAAATGAGGCCCCTTAGGAAGGACCTAGTCATTTTACCATGTTTCTTGCTCAACTGGCATTCATTAGTAAGTCAGGTTTTGACTTATTTCAAAATCACATTTTGGACACAAGACAGCAGAGATCTGCCAATCCAGATGTAAGTTAGATAAAAGCTATTCCTGCAGGACTAATTTTAGGGCTTCCTCTAAGCCTAACAGCCACACACAGGTCAGGTCATCAGGACTGAAGCCCCCCTTCTAGTGATCATCTTCCTACAGGGAGCACAAGTTATTTTCAAGGGGCCTAACATTAGGGAAGAAGGAATGGTACTATGTAAGTTACAACAGCTGAATAATGCTGTTCCCCAGATTTTTGTGGAAGTGATGGATTCCAGTTCTGCTAACATCTAGCTGGGTAGTCATGAACCAAGTTTGTTTTCTCACTAACTTGAAAAAGTGGTTTCACGTGTTCTTTTCTAAGTCTCCAGATATTATAACCAATGTCATATGTAAGTAACATAAGAGCAACAGCTGAGTATAGGCTGGAAATTCAGAGTGGGTCATTTTTTTCTATTTTCATAATTTATAATTTTATCATAAAATGTAATAAAACATTCCTAGGAAAAGTATCACTGATTAAGGGCAATTTATATCCCTCAGTTCACTGCTACTCCTAAATGTCTGAGGGTTAAATTATGCTCTGATGTCTTAGAATTAAAATGAGATTTTCCTGAACACCAAGCCACTTAAATCCTTAGAAGGTTGCTTTTATTACATTGCACAGATGGCTACACAAAATGGTCTCTCCATTTTTGTATTCTTAAAAAAAAAATTAATACAATCCCTTATTTGTGTGGTACTTTATAATTTACAAGTTTTCACGTACACCGTATCTCCTATAATCTTCACAGAAAGTGGATATTTTCCTCACTTAACGAGCACATTGACCCTTGTCCCAGGTGACATTACTGGTAATGGTGGCATCAGGAATAGATTTTGGGTCTTTTGAGCCCAGTATTCTCTTTCTCATTATACCAGCCACACTTCAGCATAACAGCTTTTGTTCCAAAGCATTTCTATTACTTTGTTCAGAAAAAAACTTTCTTTAAAAATCTAGTACAAAAATTCACAAAAGATAAAATTACTTGCCATCAAAGCCTTACCAGTGGTATACCTGATTTCTGAAGTCACCAGAGGCAGGTCTCTGCATGTTCAGCACCACGTAGGTGTATTCTACACCCTACACAATCACTGCCCCACAGCTTTCTGACCAAATCAAGTACATGAAAAGACAGGCATGATAATACATCACCAGAGACCTGAATAAATGACCTCACAAAGTGAAACAGACCTTTCTGAAAGCTTACCTGAGTGCAAGCTGTTCCATCCTCTGACTGGGAACTGGTAATGGAATATTAAGAAGCCAAAACTGAGATTCCTGCTATGAAACTAACAACACAAAATACTGTAATTTTAGAAAAGTTTGTAAAAGATGGCTGATTGGCTATGTTGAAACTATCAGTGGTTAGAAACTACATACTGAAAACTTAAAAACCTAAAATCCATTTGAACTTTAAGAAGTTGGGGAATTGCAAACATGGCAGGCAGAACGAATCCGTACACCTAAAGTCCAACAAAAGATCCAGGAGCATTGGCCTATTGAGAAAAGCACTGCAATGTGATGACTATTCAGTCTTCCAGTTGGCATTCTGAGTTAGGATTGTAGCGTCTTTTTAAACAAATGTGTTTGTTATATGTGAAAAGGATTTTAAAAATACAACATATTAAGTATAAGCAAATTAGTACCTTTTGGGGCAGTAAGATTAAAGAGATTGGTTAATGTTCTTAATTGTAATCCCTGAATTCAAAAGACATACTGAACATAGGTGTTCTTTTATTCTTATCTTTGGGGCAACTTTCAAATTCTTTGATAGCACTAGAAGCCCCCAGAATCTGTAAACCAGGTCTTTAAGTAAATAAGTTCCCAGCACTTTTTTTTTTTTAAAAGATTTTATTTATTTGACAGAGAGAGACACAGCGAGAGAGGGAACACAAGCAGGGGGAGTGGGAGAGCGAGAAGCAGGCTTCCTGCCGAGCAGGGAGCCCGATGCGGGACTCGATCCCAGGACCCTGGGATCATGACCCGAGCTGAAGGCAGACGCTTAATGACTGAGCCACCCAGGCGCCCCTCCCAGCACTTTTTGATGAGTCAAAAAGAAGAGCCCCAGGTCTTTTTCCCAAACTTGTAAGGCCTTATTTGCCTATCAATCAGCAAGATGATAGCAGGAAAGCAAGAACTCCTTTCCTGTTTCTGTGTAGATTGGAAAAAAAAAAATCTGAGTGGGAATCTCATCATGAAATTATCAAATGAGGCAAAGCCAATGGCTTTTTAGCCTAGACTTACGCCCAAGATTCAGACATGACACTAATGCCACTGCCACCTTGGATGCTGTCATGTTTCAAACAACTCCGTTCTCACAACCATCGAGCAGCTGGAGCTGTAACTGGAGATCCATCCTCTCCAAAATATACCTAATTGTAGAGCTTTTCCTACTTAGAAAATATCACAGTACCAATGTTGAAATACCAGGACTGTGGACAAGATTTAAAAATGCATTGCCCAATAGAATGGGACGATGAAAAATCACATGCTTCATATCAGATTTTCTTTCATTCATTCCAGCCCTTCCTTCCCATATGGTTCAAGAGGAAAAGGTTACAGTCTAACAGTTTATTCAGTACTAGTACAAAAGAGAATGAAATCAGCATTCTTACAATATTGCAAGACTAGGATCACTCCTAATACTACTTTCCTTTAGTTCCTTCGCCCCTAAATTTTAAGTCATCCATTCCTTCAAGATGCAGTATGTCCGCATTACTGCAACAATATTTTATAACTAAAGATTTTCTAAACTTTGTAGGGAATTGAATCTATAAGCATGAAGAAAGACTCTACCAGTGAATTTTTGTGGGTTTGTTTTTTTCTTTGCTTTAATTATACCAAAAATTATTTCTGAGACTTAGTGTAAGCTAATTAAACTGAGTATTCTTCCTCAACACAAACAAGAATAACCAAAATCTTTAATTTCTCGTTCAAAAGATAATAACCAAACAATAAACAAAATAAGAAATTAGCCTGAAAGCTATGGCTTGTTTCCCATTCAGCAAAAAAGTATAACTGGTAATGAATAAGGTACAATTTCCATAACTCGGTATTTTTGAAAATTTTAAGGTTTTCATTTGTAAAAGAGTAAAGAGCTGTGCTACACTTTTCTAGTCAGCTTGACTTGTCAGAAGATTTTACATCAATATTGACAGTCTTAGCTCTTCCTTTTTGCCCCATCATATACTCAACCTTAAAAGGCAGTTACTCACATTAAATTTATCTGTTCCTAAAAATGTAGACTAAGTTATATGGGCAAAGGTCCACATTGCATTTGAGGGCTGGGGTGGGGAGGGAGAGAAGTTACTCCTCAAAAGCAAAAATTCTGCTGCTAAGTATTTTACTTACCAATTTTATTCTTTCACAATCGAACACATCAATTTTAGTCCACTGAGCATCTGATTTGCCCCATCTCTTGATTTCCAACCTTAGTTATAATGATGTTTTCCCTTTTCCTAGTCCTTTTTACAAACTGATGGCAAAATGTAATAACCAGGGGGTGCCTGGGTGGCTCAGTTGGTTAAGTGTCTGCCTTCGGCTCAGGTCATGATTCCGGGTTCCTGGGATCAAGCCCCTCGTCGGGCTCCCTGCTCAGTGGGGAGTCTGCTTCTCTCTCTCCCTCTCCCTCTGTGTGCTCTCTCTCTCTCTCAAATAAATAAAATCTTAAAACAAAAAAAACAAAGACAGTGTGACTGCTGAAATTGAACTTCTGACTCATAGACATTGCTACCATGAGCTAACTTGAGATGTTTGCCTACTAATATAAAAAACTTATCTTTGGTATATAATAGGCAATTATGGGCTGCTAATTTGTAAAAACTAAATATATAAAAATGGAGAATTGCCTGACGTAATTACAATCAATAATTTTAGAGCTGGAAGGAAATTTAACAATCATCTAATCCAAACTTAATTCCTAGATGAAAAGAATGAGGCACAAACAGATGGAAAGACTTGGCTAAAATCACACTTCTCATGAGTGCCAGAGCTAGAACTAGAGTTGGGTCTAATATTCCTAGGTGATTATTTTTACATTACACAATACTCATAGTTTAGAAATTTTATTATTTGGAAATTTATCTTCCAACAGATCTTTGTTAGAATTGTAAAACAACAACAAAAATGTTCAAATTCTGATATCTATTCTTCCTTCCTAGTTCATGTTCTGTTGAATAAATAGTTAAACTTTAGAAGGATAAGAGGTTAGGATCAAGGAAATGGACAATTTAAAGTGGATAAAATATAGATCTGATCATAATGCTTTCCTCTAATTCTGAAATAGGTTGATTTCAACATTCATGCTTAGATATTTGTCACTCACCTTTCAGACTTGCTTATACAAGGTTGTATGGTAACAGATCTCAAGATGTGGAGTTGATTCAATGACAAAGCTCATTTGAACACTTTTCCTTCATAGCTACTACTGCAACCATGAAATCAATTTCACAGGTTTCAGTCTCAGAGAGCTCATAATACATAATAATCTCAATCAATGAAAATAATAGGCAGCTTTCTGTTTATTCTTTAGACGAACTACATCTCAGATGGAAAGTAAATAAGGGAGTAAAGCAAAAGTTAACCTAGGAGACATTTTTTCACTGACAGGTTAAACATCAGTCCATAATTCATCAAGAGATCTACATTATAATGTATGGCATATTTAAGACACAAAACTTCATGAGACTTGAGGTGGCTGCTTACAACAAGAGCTTAAAGAAAGATATGGAAAAAAAGACACTTTATAAAAGGGAAAATTGCAAGGCTAAATCAAAATGAAAATCTGAAAAGTTAAAGCATATTTGTTTTTATTTATAGACAGTTATCACATGAATTATAAAGAAGAAAAAGGATATCAGAATGGAGCTTGGGTAGATGTATGCATGCTATGGCTAAGAATAAACAATGTTCTTACATGTTATGGTTAGTGAGGACAGTATCAGTATAACAGGGAATTGTGACTATTTAAAAATATGCAGAACTGATTTAATCTGTACTTTAGAAATAACTTATATAGTGTTATAAGTTGAAAAGAATTCAAAAGAATAATACCAAATATACACCTGTGTATAAGAATTCAAAAAAGGCTGCAATCTGTAAAGTCAATCAGCTGTATTAAAAATGACACAAATCCAGAACAAGATGCATGTTATATAAAAAGGGACATTATAAGATTTACTTGCTGCATTAAATCCATGGTTAAATCCACAAAATTTCCTTTTAATTAACATTTAGACAGAAACATGCAAATAGTCTTAGGTTCTACTTAGAGACTTCCCCAAATCCGCTAAGGCTACAATATCCCCCTTTCAGGAGCTAAGCAGGTATTCGGGTAGCTGCTTCCTCCTCTGCATCAGCTCGGTTTGCATTAATTTCTGCGAGTGTTCGGCCGAACCGTGCCCATTCATCATTTCGGGGGACAGCAATCTGCTGTTAAGAGAAAGACAACGTTTTATATACACTGAAATAAATGATTATCTTACCCAGTATTTCGGTTTGTTTTCAAATAATTTGTCCATTAAAAAGTAATGCTGTAAATGGTCTTTCCATAATTACAGGGACTGTAACAATGCTTCACAACACATTTCAAAACAAAAGATGATGTTTGGGAAGTGTGTTGTGACAGCCTCAGAAATGCTTTTGCTGTTATCACCATCAGTACAAGAGTGAATAACAATGATACTCTGTAAATATAATTCCTATGTACTATCTCTCAGATTTTGCTGGTGGGGAGGAATTCCTTAAAATTTTTTACTGCTTGCACTGTTCCAAATATGAAATAGTTTTTGAAGCATGCTTCAAAGAGCTGGTTTCTTATGAGTATTTATTTTTGTTTGGAGCATAAGATAACTGTTCTTGATATCTTAATCCCTTCATCAGAAGGTACATTATCTCTTACCACTTTAGTGATCTACAAATAGCTAAAGGGGAAAAGAGGCTCATGATGCTTTTGCCTCCATGAAGCATCCAATGACCAAAAATTTTTGATAACTGTCATCATAATATTGGTGAAATCTCAACACTGCCATATTAGGGCACAAGCCACTCAGTATAGCAAATGAATGTGCCTACTTCTTAATCTACCATATTAGATTAGATTGGATAGTGATATCCAATACGGTGGCTACCAGACACAGGTGACTATTCACATTTAAATTACTTACAATGAAATAAAATATAAATTTTAGTTCCTTTGTTGTGCTAGCCACATTTTTTTTTTTTTTAAAGATTTTATTTATTTATTTGACAGAGAGAGACACAGTGAAAGAGGAAACACAAGCAGGGGGAGTGGGAGAGGGAGAAGCAGGCTTCCCGCTGAGCAGGGAGCCCAGTGCGGGGCTCGATCCCAGGACCCCGGGATCATGACCTGAGCCGAAGGCAGACGCTTAACGACTGAGCCACCCAGGTGCCCCGCTAGCCACATTTTAAGTGTTTGACAGCCATATGTGGCTAGTGACTACTAGATTAGTGCAGATACAGAGCAATTCCATCTGCGTGGACAGTTCAATTGGCTATTCTAAATGATTCAATCTACCTCCCTCCAGATCCAATTACTAGAGGCCACAGGGTGTCCAGAGGGGATGCGGAATCATAAGGCATAGCAAAAGAAACAGTGACTAAGGCTTCTTTTAGCTAGGGCTAAAAAGAAGGAAATCGCTCCTGAACATTGTGTATAGCCAACCCAAGTACAAAAGATGACAAAGAGCTGCAACTTATCCTGCTGGATTCAATGATAATGGCTTTGCAACAAGGTTCACAAGTCAAGATTCACATTTCACACAGTCATCAAATAACTCTCAAAGATACTACTTTTGATTTCTACTACCTGGCCCAAACAAATCTACAAATACAGAAAAATAAGAACTTAAATCTGTAAAGCCCCGAAGTCCGTAACACAAAGTCTATAACTCAACTGTTAACTCCAAATTTCTTCTTCCTGAAGAGTTTCTAATTTCTAGTAATTTATGCTTCAAGAGATAAGGTACTTCCAGTGTATGATATTATCCTCAAAGTCTGTTGCATGGAGACACAGAACATCCAGTTTAGAAAGAAAATTAATCTTAGGAGTTGCTTCTGTCGTGGAAAAAGTTTTATCTTTACAACCATATGGTTTATACCACTCATGAACCTTGAAGACTAGTTTTAGCCACAAAGATACCGTAACTACAATGCCCTGAAAGCTAAACAGATGTATCAAAATTATAGGCAGTGAGCCCCATACCTCTCCCACGTCATATATGACAATCTGGCCTTCAGAATCACCCACAGCAATCTCTCTTCCAGAATGGGTCCATCTTACACGATTAAGAGCAGGATTACCCTCCACAGAAATGCTGGCAGTTGGCACCTGAAGTCATTTAAAATATAGCGCAGTGTTAAAAGTTTCATCAAGATTTCTATAAACATGTAAAACTCTTCTTTCCTCCAATCGGGCTACGTTTTTTAAAACAAAGATGAAAATAAAGAATTTTCCCAACTTTCTTCCTGTTCAGTGACACATTATGAATGACATTACAGTCAATCCTTGAAAATGGTTTGGGAAAATAACTTAAGTTCTTATATAAGAAATTCTCATATGACTGGATACATACATCATTTTGAAAGATCTTCTCTTTAATAAAGGACTCTTTGTTGTTATTTTAACTTTTTTAAGAAATCAAGCTGTTTGAAAACAGATGGCCAAAACCCCATTTTAAAGAAACATTTCAAAAGCCCTCATAAACAGATTACGGTTCAATTTTAGAGAACAGAAATTACTTTTGTAGCTTGTGACTCTGTCAGCTGAAACCTGTGATTTGATCCACAGTTCCTAGAAACAGTTCACAGTGAAGGTGCAGGATGGGTTTTTCCAAAGCTCTTATTCCCATAAACTGTAGAACAGGGTAGGATGATAGCACCAAGACAATGGCACCACCTCCCCGGAATCTGACTGTACTTCTCTCATGCTGAAGAAAAAGAAATTTATTTGCCACACACAGAGCAAACATCCAATGTCTGACTCAGACTGGAAGCACAATAAAATTTTTGAAACCTGATTAAAAATAATCCTTTTAATTGACACTAGTCATCCCCAGATGACTAATTTAACTCCTAGAATGCCAAAACTGTTACAGAGAAAAACTGTAATTTAGACATATTCTTTGAGTTAAGGATTATAGGAAAGACCTAAATTTAAGGGTAACCACAAATCTCAAACACCAAAACCCAAACTAAAAAAATGCAATTGGTACCATTCTAGGTAACTGAAGAAGTATAATTAAGCCCAACCATCTAGTCAGGGCTTAATACCTTTTCCTAGGAGTATCTGAATGTTCCTCTTCAAACTACTAAACCACGAGTTAGCACACTTAACTACTCTTACATTTCAAATCCATAACTTCCTTGCCCTGTATAACCAACTATTTTACTTCGAGGGATTTGGATGGCTGCCACCAGAAATACGAAGAAATGTGGGAAAGAGTGGGATGTGGGGTAAGGCACCAAGAGACTTTCCCCTCAGTAACTGTTTCTGACAGAACTGCTAAAACATTACTTCTTACCACCTCATATCAACACAGAATTCAAGGAACATTTTAAGCCTAAGTTGGTAAAAATGCACATACCTAAAAATAAGTAATAGCTATAGTTAAATTTCATTGCCAATAAGTGATTTTAGCATAGTAATTAGGAAATTTTGTGGTTTCTATATTCATTTTATAGTAACGATAAACACTGTTTTCAATCCTTCATCGAACAAGTCATCAAAATGCATTTCTCTTTCATTTAAATAAGTCAGGCTAAAACTAATGTTTATGGATGATAATACAATTCTGTCAAGGCTAAGAGATAATTTAGAAATTCAGAATTAAGGTTAACATACTTCAACAGTCTGAAACTATCGGCTTTGTAGCCTGTGAGTGAAAAATATCCCAGTTGCCTTATGAATGAGACTTTGCCAGGACATTACAGACATGATAGTGCTTTTCAGAAGTAAAAGGAAATGCCCCAGTGCTCTTGGCAACATTATTTCTCCCTTCAGTACTGCACAGCATGGTGTTTATTATTAAGGGTACAAAGCTTATTTGGTTTCTTTGTGATGAAGCTACAATCGCCGAGCCCTTTCACATTCCTTGGGATAAAAGAAATTTCACAAATTATTCAATAAATCTCCAATTTTCTATTTTTCAATGCAATTTTTGTTATTTTCCTGCTCACCTCCGTGTCATTATTGAGATTCCACAAATCCAGCCTCCCCATGCCATCCACACAAGCAAACAGGGCTGGGTGGGTGGGTGACCACATAACATCATAAACATAGTCTGAATTATCTTCAAATGAATACAAAGGCTTGTTATTCTGAAAGGGAAAAGTTGATTCTTAGCATAGTCAAAAGACAACACACATTCAATAGGTATGGATAACATTTTATGATATTTAACTCAGCCTAGAAAAAGTTCCTCCTATTTGTTTCACTACAGAATTACCTGGAGTTATAAACTAAGAATCAACTATTGGACTGCAGTTTCTTTTTAACTTGCAGACACCATACTGTTTTAAAAAAGGAAAAGAATGTGCTTCAAAAACATTTGTCCATGAGAAGATGCTGGGAGGATGACAGCAATGGCAGTTCACTTTTTGAATTCCTCTAACTCTACCCATAAACCCAAACAAAGCAATGAGGATAGCAAAACCAAAGATTCAAAGACAGTATGTACAACAAAATCAGGTGACCAAGCTCCAAATGTAAGTGAGTAGAAACAAACTTCTGCCAATAACAAGACCTACATGGTACAAACATCTGTGCAGGAAGAAGTGTGGAAAGGCCTGGGGCTTCTGACAGCCAGAGAACAGAACAGATGAGCCTCATCGCTGACAGCAGATACTCACTGGACAGTGTCAGGGAATACGCTGAGTCTGAGAACAGCAGCAGAAACTAGGAGGGAGTTCAATGCAACTCTATTTATAAATAAGTGCAAGCAGACTCCAATGTGATATAAGTAAGGTCTAAAGGTGCAGTCTGAGATCTACAAACTCTCAAAATTAACAAACCAAAGCTCCCTTTCAAGACAAAGTCTCACCAGAGAGAAACTGCTGGGAGTAGAATCAAAGCTGTAGCAGATAGCACAGTAGGGACAAAGGGAAAGAGAAGGCTCAGATAAAACTGGTGGAGAAAAACAGAAAAGGCACATCTCAGAAAGTACAAGATAGAGAAAGATAAATATTAACTTTGCAAAAAACACAGAAGAGAGAGCTTTAGCCTTGACTACGAAACTAGAAAAACTATCCTATGCCCATTCCCACCCTTCTAAAAGTACAGAAAAACTCATTTCACTAGAAGACAATAAGCAACAAAAAAGGATCTTGGTTAAATGCCACCCAAAGTTATTGTGGCAGATCTTCAATAATGGTGTCATGACAGTTAAATGGGAAAAGAATGGTAGACAAGATGGATTTGCACATGCACAAGAATGAAGATGAACCCCTCCTTCCTCATACCATACACAAAAAGTAACTCAAAATGTACTGGAAGTCCTAGCCACAGCAATCAGACAACAAAGAGAAATAACAGGCATCCAAATTGGTAAGGAAGAAGTAAAACTTCCATTGTTTGGCAGATGACATGATACTGTATACAGAAAACCTGAAAGACCACCAAAAAACTGCAAGAAGTGATAAACAAATTCAGTAAATTCAGTAAATTCACAGGATACAAAATCGATGTACAGAAATCTGTTGTATTTCTATATACCAATAATGAAGCAGCACAAAGAGAAATTAAGAAAGCAATCCCATTTACAATTGCACCCAAAATAATAAGATACCTAGGAATAAACTTAACCAAAGAGGTGAAAGACCTGTACCCCCAAAACTATAAAACACTGATGAAAGAAACTGAAGATGACAAAGAAATGGAAAGACATTCCATGCTCATGGATTGGACGAACAAATATTGTTAAAATGTCTATAATTTGAACCAAAGTAACCTACACACATTCAGTGCAATCCCTATCAAAATACAGCACTTTTCACAGAACTAGAACAAACAATTGTAAAATTTATATGGAACCACAAAAGACCCCAAATACCCAAAGATATTTTGAAAAAGAAAAGCAAAGATGGAGGTATCACCATTCCATCTTTCAGACTTCAGTTATATTACAAAGCTGTAGTCACCAAAACAGTATGACACTGGCACAAAAACCAAAACAGTATGACACTGGCACAAAAATAGACACACAGATAAATGGAACAAAAACAGAAGACCCAAAATAAACCCACAATTATATGGCCAATTAATCTGCAACATACCAAGAAAGAATATCCAATGGGAAAAAGTCTCTTCAACAAATGGCACTGGGAAAACTGGTCAGATACATGCAAAAGAATGAAACTGGACCACTTTCTCACACCATACACAAAAATAAATTAGAGTGGATTAAAGACCTAAATGTGAGACCTGAAACCATAAAAATCCTAGAAGAGAGCACAGCAGTAACTTCTCTGACATCAGCTGTAGCAACTTTTTTTCTAGGTATGTCTCCTGAGGCAAGGGAAACAAAAGCAAAAATAAACTATTGGGACTACATCAAAATAAAAATCTTCTTCACAGTGAAGGAAACAATCAGCAAAACTAAAAGGCAACCTATGGATGGGGTGCCTGGGTTGCTCAGTCATTAAGCATCTGCCTTCGGCTCAGGTCATGATCCCAGGGTCCTGGGATCGAGCCCCACATTGGGCTCCCTGCTCAGCGGGAAGCCTGCTTCTCCCTCTCTCACTCCCCCTGCTTGTGTTCCCTCTCTCAGTGTCTTTCTCTGTCAAAAAATAAATAAAATCTTAAAAAAAAAAAAAAAAGGCAACCTATGGAATGGGAGAAGATATTTGCAAATGACATATTCGACAAAGGGTTAGTATCCAAAATATATAAAGAACTTATACAACTCAACACCAAAAAGCAAATAATCCAATTTAAAAATGCAGAAAACATGAACAGACATTTCTCCAAAGAAGATGTCCAGATGGCCAACAGACACATGAAAAGATGCTCATCATGACTTATCATCAGGGAAATGCAAATCAAAACTACAACGAGGGCCACCTGGGTGGCTCAGTCAGTTAGGCGGTTGACTTCAGTTTGGATCATGATCTCAGGGTCCTGGGATTGAGCCCCACATTGGGCTCCTCACTCAGTGGGGAGTCTGCTTATGCGCCCCTCCCTCTGCTTGTGCTGTCTCTCAAATCAATGAATAAAATCTTTAAAAAAAAAACAAAACAATGAGATATCACCTCACACCTGTCAGAATGGCTAAAATCAACAACACAAGAAACAGGTGTTGGCGAGGATGTGGAGAAAAAGGAAACCTCTTGCACCGTTGGCAGGAATGCAAACTGGCACAGCCACTGTGGAAAACGGTATGAAGGTTCTTCAAAAAGTTAAAAACAGAGGAAACCCTATGACCCAGCAATGACACCCACTGGTATTTACCCAAAGAATAAAAAAACACGAATTCAAAGAGATATATGCACCCCTATGTTTATAGCAGCATATTTACAATAGCCAAAATATGGAAGCAGCTCAAGTGTCCATCAACTAATGGATAGACACACACACACACACAAATATTATTCAGCCATAAAAAAAAATGAAATTTTACCATGTGCAATGACATGGGTGGAGTTAGAGAGTATAATACTAAGCAAAATCAGTGAGTCAGAAAAAGGCAAAAACCATATGATTTCACTCATATGTGGATTTAAGAAACAAAGGGAAGAAAAAAAAGAGACAAACCAAGAAACACTCTTAACTATAGAAAACAAACTAATGGTTACTATAGGAAAGGTACATGGGGGAGGTGGGTTAAACAGGTGACGGGGATTAAGGAGTGCAATTGTGATGAGCACCAGGTGATGTATGGAATCACTGATTCACTATATCATACACCTGAAACTAATATAACACTGTATGTTAATATAACACTGTATGTTAACTGGGATTAAAATACAAACTTAAAAAAAGAAAAATAGGGCGCCTGGGTGGCTCAGTTGGTTAAACGACTGCCTTCGGCTCAGATCATGATCCTGGAGTCCCGGGATCGAGTCCCACATCGGGCTCCCTGCTCGGCGGGGGGGTCTGCTTCTCCCTCTGACCCTCTTCCCTTCTCGTGCTCTCTGTCTCTCTTTCTCTCTCTCAAATAAATAAATAAAATCTTTAAAAAAAAAAAAAAAGAAAAAGAACTCAAAATGTATCACAAAACTAAATAAAGAGGTAAAAGTATAACTCTTAGGAGGAAGCATAGGAGTAAGTTGTTGTGAGCTAGGATTTGCCAATGGTTTCTTAGATATGAAACCCAAAGCACAAGCAACAAAAGAAAAAGTCAATAAATTGGGCCATATCAAAATTAAATACTCTTGTGCTTCAAACAATACCTTCAAGAAAGTGAAAAGACAACCTATACAATGGAAGAAAATATCTGGAAATCATTTGATAAGTGATTTATATCTAGAACACTTACAACTCATTTATTAAAAAAGGAAAATAAGCCAATCAAAAAATTGGGCAAAGAATTTGAACAAACATTTCTCTAAAGGAGATCCACAAACGGCAAATAATCATTTGAAAAGATATTCAACATCATTATCCATCAGGGAAATGCAAATTGAAACTACAAGGAGATATCATTTCACACACTAGGATGTCTATAATAAAAAGGACAGATAATAGCAAGTGTTGGTGAGGAGGTGAGAAATCAGAACCCTCATACATGCTGATGGAAATGTAAATTGGTGCAGCTGTTTTGAAAAAGTTACCCAAATGCTAATTAGAGTTAACATATGACCTAACAATTCCACTCCTAGGTATATACCCAAGAGAAATGAAAACATATATATACACAACAAAAATGTACATGAGTGTTCACAGCAGCATTATTCACAACAGCCCAAAAGGGTAAACAACCTAAACATTCATTAACTAATGAATGGATAAACAAAAAGTGGTATATCCATATAATGGGATAGTATTTGGCCATAAAAGGAATGAAGTACTGATACATGCCACACATGGATGAACCTTGAAAATATGCGAAGTGAAAGAAGCCAGTCACATTTTGTGATGCCATGAAATGTCTATAACAGGAAGTTTAACAGAAACAGAAAGTAGGTCATTTCCAGGAGCTGGGTGGAGGGAAAGGAGGAGTGACTGCTAATGGACTTAAGGTTTCTTTCTGAAATTTGAAAATGTTCTAAAATTAGACAGTGATGATAGTGCGTATCTCTGTGAATCTAAGAACTGTACACTTTAAAAGGGTGAATTTTATAGTGTATGAATTATATCTCAATAACAGTTATTTTTAAAAAAG